TCAGAGCCCACATAGTGGCTCATAGCCATTTGTAACTCCAGTTCTAGTGCATCTAACACCCTCTTCTAGCCTCTGAGGGCACCAGGCATACAAGTGATATACAGACATACATGCAGATAAAATACCCATATATAAAAAATGGGATTAAAATTAAAACAACCACCCTCACGGTGAACTGAGCATGGATAATCCCAGCCTGTGGGCAGTGAAAGCAGGATGAGGATTTCAAGGTTATCAGGTGAGTGAGTGTGGGGACAGCCTAGGCCACATGAGAAAACAGAAATCCAGGAAACTAAACTCAGAAACTAGACAAACTCTCCACTTCTCAACTAAATCCACAGCCCTTAATCAGGGATGTTGTACATGGTAGGCAAACATTCTACCACTGGGCTAAACATTCCCAGTTTGAAATACTTTTTTTTTTTAAAGCATTGAGTACTGAACACAGGATTTGGTACATGCTAAGCAAACACTCTACCAATGAGTTGTATTCCTAGCTTCACACCCCATCCCCCCTTCAGGGTCTACATAGTCGGGGTCTATGTAGCCTTCTGACTGTCCTGGCACTCACTGTAAATAAATCACTTTGGCCTCGAACTCAGTCTGCCTACCTCTGTCAAATGCTGGGATTACAAGCATGAGTTACCTGCCTTCCCGACCACTAAAAATATACAAAAGTCATTACTCTCAGATTGGATAAAAAACTGATGGTAGGTGAGCTACATTTGGTTTGTAAGCAGTAACTCTGGCCTGTATGTGGACCCCAGAGTGTAGGGAAGTTTAAGAAGGGATCAGAGCATGATACAAACTTCTAACTGCAATTCTGACACTTGGCAGGTGGATAAGGCAGGCGTTCAAGGCCATCCACAGCTTTGCAGAAAGTTTTGAGGCCAGTCTGGGATATGTGAGACTAAACAAAAACTTAAGAAGGTAGGTCACAGGCAGTACAGACCTTAATCACAGGCTGAGGTCAGAGTCTCAAATTCAGGGTCTGCCTGGACTAACTGGCAGCGTTACAGCAGCTGTGTGTAAGTAGAGTGCTAATCCAGTATGTGTGATGTAGGTTCAATCCCCAGTACCACAAAGATTTACCAAGTAGGCTAAACAATGGTGGTATTGAATAGTAGGCCAATTGTATTTGATTTCTCTGACAATGGGATGCTAATGAAGTTTGAAAAATGTTCTGGAAAGATTGATGTGGTAACAAAATATGAGATGAATCAAAAATAAAGGAACAGATAACACTTAGAAGACTTCAACCCCAAATTTCTGAGAGTTTCCCTTATCAAAAGTTCTCATGAGACACTTTTGAAGATTCAGGCTCACCACATGGGAACCCCTCCCCTCTCTTCTTTTAGTCCCTTCTGTCTTCCCTAACTCCATCTCAATGGGTTTCACACTAGACTTCCTCCATGCCTTTAGCTGTAGTCTCAACCATCAGCTGATGTGACCCAAATCTAACAGGTTTGTTTTGCAAGAGTCAAGGAGTTACTTTATGTTCTTTCTTGCACTTCATCTTTCTTACAATTTACTAACATCAGTTTGACAGTTAACAGAAAGGTAAAATAAACTACTGTTCCTTGTTTGAGATTTCTCATTTTCTGAGGTTTGATTTGATAGCTCTAAGGTCTATAATTTCTGGGCCCATATTAGCAAGACTATTTCTACAAGGAAGAGGCTTTAAAAGATTTAAACATCAAAGAAAAAATATTGAAAAAAATATTCATGCAAGGCAGTATTGCATTATCTGTGACAATGCATAATTATATTATATAATATGTAATATTATATATTATCGAGGGTGTGTGTCTGAATATCTTGAGGCTGGGTGCTGTGGTGGCTCACACCTTTAATACCAGCCAGCACTTGAGAGGCAGAGACAGGATCTCTTTTAGAGTTTGAGGCCAGCCTGGTCTAGAGTGAGTTCCAGGATAGCTGGAATCTCTGCTTTGAAAAACACAACAAATTACTGAGACTTTTTTTTTTTTGAGACAGGGTTTCTGTGTAGTTTTGCAGACCAAGCTGACCTAGAACTCACAGAGATCTACCTGCCTCTTTCTCCCTAGTGCTGGGATTAAAGGCATGTGTCACCACTGCCCAGCAAGCAGACCTAGAACGCAGAGATCTACCTGCCTCTGGCTCCCTAGTGCTGGGGTGTGTCACCCTGCCCGGAAAACGAACTTTTGCTGGACCTTACAACCATACTTAAAACACCTTGAGGTCACTTAACTAAAACTTAACTGCTATTGTACTGTACTCAGCCTTTCAACCTACCCTTAAGAGGACAATGTAACCAACCTTACTTGCCTTGCATTTCCCATGAAATCAACTTTTACAACCCAAGTTAATACATAGTTTTGATTTAAATTCATATACTCTTCCCTGTCCCATGAGTAATTCATGTGTGCTGTGATAATCGTTTGCCTAAAACAGCACACAGATGGGTAGCTACTTTATAAAATGAATACCTACCATGCATGCTCAATGTTTTTCAGACATTGCCTGTCAGTTGGAGTCAGTTACTCAGTCCCTTGTTAAATTCTGCTAAAGGTGTTTGCATAAGTATACTTCATTCCTGGCAGGCAGTGGTGGTGCATGCCTTTAATCCCAGCACTCGGGAGGCAGAGGTAGGCGGATCTCTGTGAGTTCAAGGCCAGTCAGGTACAGATTGAGTTCCAGGACAGAAAAACCCTGTCCGGAACAGCCACCCCCATCCTATCCCATGTGATGTTTTCTAATTGTTCAACTAAATAGGGAGACAAAGGCTCAGACTCATACAGACAGCCAGAGTAAGGGGTTAGTGTTTCCATTTCTTCCCTTAATTCAACTCCTAAACATCATCGGGGACTCTATCATTGAGCTCAAGTATAACCTTTAAGAGCACATATACTCTTTAAGTCTATTACATAGAAAAAAATTATAGGAGGCTAAGAGGTGGCTCAGTTCGTAAAGTGCTTGCCACGTTAGGAATGATGACTTAGGTTCAGGTGAAGCAGTGTCTGTTTGCAACCTGAGTCCTAAGGAGGCAGTGACAGTATCCTTGGGGCTTGGTGGCCAGCTATCCTACCCAAATTCATGTTTACCAGGTTCAGTGAGAGACCCCGTCTCAAAAATAAAACACGGGGGGCTGGAGAGATGGCTCAAGGGTTAAGAGCACTGACTGCTCTTCCAGAGGTCCCAGCAATCACATGGTGGCTCACAACCATCCGTTATGAGACCTGGTGCCCTCTTCTGGTGTGCAGATATACATGGAAGCAGAATGTTGTATACATTAATAAAATCTTAAAAAAATAAAACACAGGACATGGTGGACATTTTTTTCTCAAGACAGGGTTTCTCTGTGTATCTCTGGCTGTCCTAGAACTCACTCTGTAGACCAGGCTGACCTCCAACTTACAGAAATCCACTAGCCTCTGCCTCCCAAGAGCTGGAATTAAACATTTGTGCCACCACTGCCTGGCCAGCACATCTTTAATCCCAGTATCTGGGTGACAGTTTGAAGTCAGCCTGGTTTACGAATTGACTTCCAGGGCGGCCAAGTGGGAAAAAAAAAAAAAAAAAAAAAAAAAAAAAAAAAAAAAAAAACCTAACCCTAATGACTCGGATTGCTGGGAGTTGGAGGCCAGCCTGGGTTTACAAAGTGAAACTCAAAAAGACAAAACCTTTTGGGTTGGTCGGTTCAAGCAGTAAAATAATTCCAGTACTTCGAAGGCTTAAGAGGGAGAATTTCACACACTTGAGTTGAATGAATCCAATGCCTTTTCCTACATGCACAAATTTAAACACCACCCCCTCCCAACATACTTTAAAAAAAATTGATAATTCACATAACCAAGAAGTTGATGTAGTCAGTGTTATGCCTGAAATATGTATGGGTATCCTTTTGTCTTCTCACAATGGCGGTGTTTGCTAAGTAACAAGCTCAGAAGCTATGTGTATATAGTTGGCTACAGCACCTCCACCTCCTGGCCCACACCAGGTTTCTCTGCATAGTCCTGGGTGGCCTGGAATTTACTGTGTAGACCAGATTGGCCTTGAACTCCACCTACCTCTGCCTCCCAGAGTGCCATCACTTTCCAGCCCCTTTATCCCCATAGTAATTTTGATGTGAACTCTTAGATCACACAACATAGAATGTTACAGAATTAAAGCCAGAGATTACAGAGGCAGAGAGCTGCCAGATGCAAAGAGGATCACCTTGAGTTTGAAGCCAGCCTCATAAAACCAAAGGAAAAGATCACAGAATATAATGTGTACAGCACATTCAGTAGTATTTTCAAGGGTAGACTGCTCTTTCAGAGGACCCAGATTCTATTCCCTGTAACTCCAGGTCCAGATCAGACATCCTCTTATCATCTTACCAGGCATTGCAAGCAAGTGGTGCACAGACAGACACGCAGATAAAACACTCAAAATAAAAATTGATAAATTTAAAAGAAAAATTTCTGGGAAGTTCTTCAATGTGGTCAGAGTTTAGAAGCCAGTGTATATGGAGGAGGACGAGGGAGAAGGTTGGCGACAAGTTCAGAACTGATGTGACAAACACTATACACCTATTTAAGATGTTTAAATTTAGTTCTACCAACAAAAAGCTAGTCACTCTCCCTACCTGTTTTGGCTTTTCAAGACAGGGTTTCTCTGTGTAGTTCTGGCTGTCCTGGAACTAGCTCTGTAGACCAGGCTGGTCTCAAACTCAGATTTGCCTGGGGTGTGTGTGGTTGTGTGTGTGTGTGTGTGTGTGTGTGTGTGTTTTAAAGGCATGTGCCACCACTGCCTGGGGTGTGTGTGGTGTGTGTGGTGTGTGGTGTGTGTGTGTGTGTGTGTGTGTGTGTGTGGTTTGCTGGCATGTGCGTCTGTGTGTGTGTGTGTGTGTGTGTGTGTGTGTTTTAAAGGCATGTGCCACCACTGCCCGGCCAGGCCCAGTGCTTTAAATCAATTCTAATTAATTCTAATCACTTTGATGGCTTTAGGAACACATCTGGAAAAGACCAAGCACCTACTGAGTCCATCCAACAAGAAGCCATAACTTTATTAGTGATAGAAACAGTACAAATTTCAAACCAAGCTGTAGTTCCACTTTTGAAACACCAAAAAGGGGGTGGGGTGGCAGAAGGGAAACATCCTTGCTGTCAGTTACATCGTTAATTCCTGTAAAAGGGGAAAAAGACAATTAAGGGCATTTATAGGCATTATAGGACTCAGGTCACTATAATCTAAGGCATCTCAGGCTTTGGGATGAAGCCTCCCAACCGACTGTCACAGCACACAACAGAGTGCAGGAGGTAAAGAACAGGGACCAGTCACTTACCATAATAGCATTTACAATATCATTACTGTTGTTTTTCAGGGCTCGGACTGCCTTTGCTCTTGATACATTTGCTTGTGACATGACCAATTCTATGTCCTTAACTTCTACACCTGTTTCATCAACCTAAAGTCAGGGGAGAGAGGAGAGTCTTAATGAAGAATAACTCCAGTAGTGTTTGGAGCAAAATCTGCCAACATAAACAAGTTAAATAAAAGTTCACAAGATTTTGTGGCATACCTCTTCCTCCTCGCTCTCCTCTTGTACGGTTGGAGTCTGAGTGTTTTCCTGAATGTTTGAAACAGCTTCACCTTGAACTTTGAATTTCTCAGCAGCTGCTAACTGTGCTTGCTGAGACAAATCTTCAATCTTCAGGGCAGAGAACAGACACAAGTAAATTGCACCTTAGGCGATGCACTGTTTTGTTAATAGAGTATATTTGCCCTCACTTTAGCGGTGTCTAAAGTGTTTTGGCGTCCCAACCGTATGAGAACGGGCTCAACATCTGCAACTGCAAGAAAGTCTATCTGATAACAGTAAAGTCTATCTGGTCCTGAGCACATCACCTGAAACGTCACTAACCTTGGCCTCTCCAAAAACTATGTAGGTGTCTGAAGCTGGGCTCTTGTAGACATCTGGTTTTGTGATGACGAAGAGGATATTTTTGGATTTCCGGATAGTGACTCTAGTAACCCCTGTAACCTGTCGAAGACCCAGTTTGGACATAGCCTAAAGAAGAGAAAAGAACATTATGTTTTTAACTTTAGAAAAGTAACACCACCACATTCAACATCCACAGACCTACTTTACTGGGTTGAAGTTATAGCAGGAAAGACCAGTTGAGTATTTTTAGCTGTAGCAATTTACCAAGAGTTGTAACCACAGATGCCTGTTTTGGGGGAAGACAGTCTCATGTACCCTAAACTAGCTCTAAATTTGCTACACAGCTGCCCTTACAGCTTAAATCCTTCTGCCCCAGTGTCCCAAGTGCTGGAATTTTAAGTATGAAGCACCCTAGATCTCCAATCCTCAATTATAACTTCATCTTACCTTCCTTGCCTTCTTTTCACTCCGACTCTGTTTTGCTTTACTGACTGGCTCTTCATCGATTTCAGCTGCTGCTGCCAGCTAAGAAAACAGAATTTTGAGCGAAACAGATCCAAAGTTCAGGATGCTTGTTTCCATGTGGTTTGCTTTACAAAGATTCATTGTTCCCATAGTTATGTCTGTTACAACCAGTCTTGGTTCCCCAGACCTTGAACTTTCAACATTTCTGCCTCAGCCTTCAAAGTGCTGAGATTATAAGTACTGGCCACCATACTTGTCTGTAAGTTAAGAGAACACGTACCTGGGCTTGTTGTGTGGTTGTCTGTGTGGAGTCCTGTTCCTCGAGCTCTGGTACTGATTCATCACTGTCTGACTCTGTTCCAGATCCTAAGATGACAGATAACTTTTATTACTTTCAACAGTGGAATTTTAAGAAGTGATATCTCATCATAGCGTGACTGAATGAACTAGCTATCTCTGTTCTACGCAAGGCCTTACAAAGCTAAATAAATGTAAGTCAACTGGCTTCCATGACTCAGCCTGAGGTCTCCAACTTATAGGACTCCACCGAAGAACCAGTCTTAGAGATGTGGACAGTCACCAGACACAGCTAGGTAGCTTATGTGTAGTAACTGCCACCTTTCTCTTAAGGCCTTCATTTCTTGGCACCAACACCAATGTAATTCCAAAACATTGAGACAAAAGGCATCTTTTGATAAATTAAGTGAGAACCCTAAGTGGGTTGGGAAGTCAGAAGCAGCTGTGCACACACACACATTCTGCCTTTCAAGTGACTCACTGACAAAATTTAACCTATCTCTGGAAAGCCCCCGTGTTATTAAGCTTACAGTTCTCACCTCGATTAGACACAGACCCATGATCCCCCCACTCCCAATACAATTCACGTATCTCAACTTTCCTTCAACCGAAAGGCCAAGCACCAGTCAATTCTACTCAAAGGGGAGGAAAGCAGACACCACACCATTCTCAGGAAAAACAGGTTCTACATTTTTAAGAAAAGGAAGTCCCTGGGCAACTGGTAGTTACTAAGTCTAAAGTGTAAAACAAAAGAGACAGCTTCCAGACCTCCCATATATTTATTTAGCAAACTCCAGGCCCAGGGACAAGGTTAGTGATGCAGTCAGAATTAGAGTGAAATTAAAGGCCTGGTAGGTCTTGGTTTTCACTATCAGCTCAGTTAGGCCAAAAAGGATGGTTAGGTCCAGGGCTTAGCCTGGATCGATGTACACAAGACACAGATTATTATCTGAGATGACAGAAACCAAGATTTAGTTCCATATTCCTAGAGCTTCTACACTATGTACTATGCCCACCCTCAAGCAGACATACTATACAAAGCGACGCATCCTAGTTAGTATTGGTGGGCAGCCCCTAGAGGGGTGTGGGCAACACACCATGCACACAGCAAACCAAGGCAAATACCCTTGTTGTCCTTCAGAACAGGCTGCTTGGCAGAGGGGGCTGGGGCAGGGATCCCAGCAGGTTTAGGGGTGGACATGTTGACGAGGACCGGCTGGAAAGGCACTCCCCCAGAGACTGCTTCGGGGGGAATCAGAGGCGGCAGCTCATCCTCATCAGCAGGGGCTGGGAGCTTAGAGGCTGATTCCAGCACTGACCCAGGTGAGGGCTGAAGAAATGGCTGTTTAGGAAGCAGAGGGGGGACTGGGGAGGGAGCAAGAGTCAGGGAAGCTGGTGGGGTAGGCCTTGGAAGCACAGATGCTGACCCTGCTTCAGGATGGGCTTTGTTAGAGCTAACTGCTGCCAAAGGGGTAGCTACCTGAGACCCAGGAGAAGCACTCACAGGACCCTTTGGGGAATGAAGACAATCTTTGCCTTTTGTAGAGCTATCAGGAAGAGCTTTTGTAGTTTTTGAAGAGTCTTTCTCAACAGGGTCTGTCAGAGGGGCTAGAGCTACTGCAGAAAGAGGGCCCTTGGTATCTTTCTTAGCAGAGGGATCTGAGCACTTAGGAGGTGAAGTCAAGTTCTTGGCTCTTAAGCCTTTTTGAATGGGAGCAGTGATGGCCAATGCACTTTCTGGAGTGGGTGTTGCAAGTACCTCTTTGAGAGTTGTAGGATCTTTCTTTGCCGGGAGCTTTTCAGACACCTGAGGGCTAACAGTCCCTGTGCTACATGTGGCTGACACTGGGGAAGTAGGAGAGTCTTTAGGGGAAGGAGTGATGGGTGAGAGAATGGGAGCCTCTTTAAGAGAGGGAAGAGTCACAGCTGGGAGAGCAGAGGCCCTGCTGGAGGATAGGGCCTTCTTTGGAGCTGAAGGAGAGTTAACTGTGGGGGAAAGAACTCCTTTGGAGGTGGAAGACTCTGAGGTTTCCTTGGGGGCTGGAGCCTTCTGGGAGGCTGAGACTGCTGGTGCCTCTTTTGGGGAGATAGGAGCCACAGAAGAGATAGTAGGGGTCACTTTGGGAGATGGACTTGTTGAAATCTCTTTGGAAGTCTCAGTTACAGGGGCCTTTTTAGGAGATGGCACTGGGGAGGCCTCTCTTGGAGCTACTGTTACTGGGGCATTGGGGGCCCTTTCAGGACATGAGGGAGCTGGGGCCTTTTTGGTGTAGATAGGAGCAGCTGGGGTTACTGAATCCTCCTTGGAGGCTGCAGTTGCCGGGGTCTTTTGCAGAGAAGGAGCCATTTCTGGCAGTGAAGTGGTGACAACTTCAAGAAAAGGATTTGCTGGAAATTCCGTAGGGGCTGAAGTTCTTGGTGCCTTTTTAGATGATGGTGTTTTGGGACTCTTTGAGGGAGAGGGAGGAATCACAGCTGGGACACCACTGGGGGACAGGGCTGCTGGAGCCTCTGTGAGAGCTACAGGCACTGGGGCCTTCTTACGGGAGGAGGAGACAGCAGCCCCCTGTGTGTCAGCAGGAATGGCTCTGGAGGCTGGAGTTGCTGAGGCCTTCAAGGGGGTGGGAGGATTCTTCTGTGCAGTGGTGACCCCTTCAGGGGACACTGCTGGTGCTTTAGGTCCTGCTGTTTTAGTGGCCTTTTGGGGAAAGGAATCAGTTTCTAGTGGTACAGCAGTGACTCCTTTAGAAGATGGAGTTGAAGTTTCCTTGGGGGCTGCAGCTGCAGTTTTTGAGGTCTTTTTGGGGGAGGGAGGTTTTGCTGGAATTTCTTTAGGGCCTACAGTTTGGGGGAGCTTTTTGGAGGATGGGGTTACCAGCGTTTCTTTGGGGCCTGCCATTTTGGGGGCCTTTTTGGGAGATGAAGAAATCTCTGGTGGCCCAGCTGTGACCCCTTCAAGAGATGGGACTGTGGGCGTTTCCTTGGGGCCTGACATCTTAGGGGCCTTTCTGGGGGACAGAGCAGCCTCAGGTGGCACAACTACAACCCCTTTAGACGATGGGGATGCTGTTTTGGAGGACCTTTGAGGGGATGACATCGCTGAAGTTTCTTTGGAACTTGCAATTTTTGAGGCCTTTTGGGGGGAGGGAGGGGTTCCCAGTGTCACAGCTGTTACGCCTTCGGGAGTTAGGATTGCTGGAGTTTCTTTGGGGGCTGCTGTTTTGGAGGTCCTTTGGGGGTGTGGAGTTGCCAAGGTTTCTTTGGGGGCTACAGTTTTGGGGGCCTGTTGCGGGGAAGCAGGACTCTCAGCTAAAGTAGCAGGGGCACCTTTGGGAGATGGGGTCACAGGAACCTGTTTGGGGGCTGCAGTTGGAGGGGAAGGAGAAATCTGTTGTGGTGCAGTTGTGACCTCTTCAGAAGATGTGACTGGAGTTTCTTTGGGGGCTGCAGTTTTGGGGGACTTCTTGGGGGACAACACTGCTGAAGTTTCCTTGGGTGCTGCTGTTTTTGAGATCTTTTGGGGGGAGGGAGTAATCTCTAGTGGCAGAGCTGGGCTGCCTTCGGGAGATGGGGTTGCTGGAGTTTTTTTGGGAGCTGCAGTTTTGGAGGCCTTTTTGGGGGAAGGAGTAATTTCCAGTGGTGCAGTGGTGACCCCTTCAGAAGAGGTAATTGGAGTTTCTTTGGGGTCTGCAGTTTTGGGCGTCTTTTTAGGGGATGACTTTGCTGAATTTTCTTTGGGAGCCTTTTTAGGGGAGGGAGCAATCTGTAGAGGCACAGCCGAGCTGCCTTCTGGAGATGGGGCTGCTGGAGCTTCTTTGGGGGCTGCAGTTTTAGGAGAGGCAGGACTCTCAGCTGAGGTAGCAGGGGCACCTTTGGGAGATGGGGTCACAGAAACCTGTTTCTGAGCTGCAGTTTTGGGAGCCTTTTTGGGGGAAGGAGGAATCTCCAGGGAAGCAGTGGTGACTCCTTTAGAAGGTGGGGTTGGAGTTTCTTTGGGAGCTGTAATCTTGGGAGACTTTTTTGGGGATGGAGCTGAATTTTCATTGGGGGATGCTGCCTTTTTGGGGGAGGGAGAAATCTCCAGTGGCACAGCTGTGATCCCTACAGACGGGGTTGCTAGAGTTTCTTTGGGGGTTGCAGTTTTGGGGGCTTTTTTAGGTACAGGAGGAATCTCCAGTGATGCAGTGGTTACACTGTCTGAAGGGGTTGGAGTTTCTTTGGGGGCTGCATTTTTGGGTGACTTTTTAGAGAATGAGGTTGCATGTTCATTGGGGGCTATAGTTTTTGAGGTCTTTTTTGGGGAGGGAGTTATTTCTAGTGGCACAGCTGTGACCCCCTCGGGTGGAGTTTCTTTGGGAGCTGCAGTTTTTGAAGCCCTTTTAGGGGAGGAAGGACCCTCAGCTAGGGTAGCAGGGGCCCCTTTGGGGGAATATGGGCCTGTTAGAACCTCACTGATTGCCTCAGTTGCTGTAGGCTTTGGTGGAGAGGGAGGAGCCACAGCTGGTACACATGGAGCCTCTGTGGGGAACTTGGGTGGCGACACTCTGGAAGCTACAGGAGCCTTTTTGGAGGGCTTATCTGGGGCACCCTTAGGGGATATTGATTTTGGAGTCTTTTCTGGGGAGAGAGAAGTCACAGCTGGGATAGTGGCAACTTTGGGAGGTGAGGCTGCTAAAGTCTCTTTGAGGGTTGCAGTTGCTGGGGCATTTTTCAGGGACAAGGAACTCTCAGTAGGAACAATGGGGGTTCCAGTAAGAGATGGGGCTGTAGGTACCTTTTGGGGAGGCAAGGAAGTCACAGCCGGGACACTCTCGAGCCATAGGGCTGCTGAAGTATCTTTGGAAACTGGAGTTGTTGGCGTCTTTTTGGGAGACAAGGGAGTCACATCTGGTACAATTGGGGGCACACTGTGGGGCTGGGTTACTGAGTCCAGTTTGGAAGCTATAGTATCTGTGGTCTTTTGGGGGGAAAGAGGAATTTCTGCTGGGACAGTGTGGGCATCTTTGAGGAATGAGGTTGCTGGGGTCTTTTGGGGGGACACAGAAGTCTCAGTCGGGGCAGCAGAGGCCCCTCTGGAGGACGGAGGAATGGGAGAAAGGTTAAGTGGGTCTTTAGGGCCTTGAAAAGAAAGACTAGCCCCAGGAAGGAAGGAAGCCTCAGGTGTAGAAAGAGACAGATCTGCAGGAGAAACACCTGGCAGAGCAGAGTCCTTCTTGGGAGAAGGCCCTTTAGTCTGAGGAGACACACCTGTCTCCAAAGATGGACAACCAGCTGGATGAGCCAGAGTTCCTTTCGAAGACACAGAAGCACCCAAGTCTTCAGGGTGCCCTTCAGGAGAGGAGGGCAGGGATGCCACAGAGGAAACACCATCACCTTTCTTTGCACCGGAAAAAGAAATCCCAGCTGGGGGAGGGGCATGAAAGGGAACAGACTCGAGGGGAAAAGCCATAGATGGAACCATAGGACAACCTTCAGAGGCTAAAGGAACAAGAGGTGAAGTGGTGGATGTGGCAGGAGAGGTGCCTTTGGCAGCTCTAGGAGCCAGCTCTTCAGGATCACAAGACTCTAAGAAACCCGGAGCCATCGTTGGGGCAGTGACAGAATGTTTGGGAGACAGGCTGACAGGGTCTGCCCTGACAATTGCAGCTGAGGCATCAGTACTGGGGGAAGAACTACTAGCAATGGCCGCCTTCACTATAGGGGCAAGCTCCTCCACAGGGGAGGCACTCTGAGGAGAAGGAATCTCTTTTTGCACTGTCAGGGACAAGGGTAGTAGAGTGGGGTCTCTTCTGGCAGGGCGTCCAGCCTGGGCTGGAGAAACAGGGGCTCCTACATTTACCAATACTGGAGTGGGGAGATTTTTAAGGCCTTCAGTGGCCGGTAGGCCTAGAGTAGGTGATACTGGAGGAGCAGGAAACTGCTTGTAAACAGCAGGTGCTACAAGTGAGATAGTAGCTGGGTCTTTACCTGACGAAACTGAAGGAGACACACAAGTGGCAGGTGCAACAGAAATGGTGGAAGGGTTATCCATAGCAGGTTGGATGGCTCCAACACCTGAGACTGGGGTTTCTTTCAAGTCAGTTTTTTGAGAAGTAGGAATTGGAGGCACCAAAGGCTGATGGGTGGCATTAGAAGAACCTTTGGGAATGAGAGAGGCTGTAGGAGATAATGTAGTAGCTACAGCTGAGGAGCTAGGAGGGCTGCAGAGTACACTAGTAAGAGCAGGGGTGCCTTTGCCAACAGACGGAGCTGGGGTAGAAGCTGAAGCCCCCACTGAAAGAGCTGCCACAGAATCAGCAACCAGCTCGTGTCTGGAGGGAAGGAAGCCTGTCTGGAAAGAAGAAAGGTGGGGAATGACAGACCTCTCAGATGGACAAGAGGCCTCAACAGCAGAATGATCTACAGAAATGGCATCACTCACTGTAGGGTCTGACAGAGCACCAGGACCTGACTGACGTAAAGGTTGGATAGGAGAATCTGAAGAACTTCGATGTGAAGATGGAACATGTGAGCACAGAGAAGTGGGGGCTACTGGGAGGACGTTGGGAGCCACAGTGTTCTGAGCAAGGAAACTACTATCAGGTCTCTTTAGGTTAGGGCTTAGCGTATTTTGTGGCATCAGGGCTGAGGAAATGGGGATGACCTTGACTGGAGAAGTGACAGTTGGAGTGATGGATAGTGTCTGAGGACAGGATGCTAGTCCAGGTGGAACACAGGCCAGTGAGGTTTCAGGAGAGGAAGGAAAAATACCGACTACACCTGGAGGACTTGGGGCAGCATCTTTCATATTTGGGAATACCTGACAGGGAACTTGACTAGCAGAGGACTTTGGTTCTAAGGAAGCAATAGATGCCACAGAAATTGATGAAGGTGAGGCAGGAGGGTGAGTCTTCTGAACTGAGTGGGGAGCCACTGCAACCAGAGACAACGGGGCTGAAGAGGACCGGGCACCTTTCTGAGCTGCACCTATCATGGGAGAGGCCAAAGCTAAGGCAGCTGGGGAGATAGGAGGCCCTATCAGGTGTGGTAGGAAAGTTGGAGTATGAGGGGCAGCTCCCAGAGGTACAGCTGTGTCAGAAGAGGGCTGGGGAAAGGGAACTTCAAAAGGGGCTGAGGAAATACTAGACGAAGGGAATGGGGAAGGCTGATTAGCCGTTACTAGAGGGCTCTGTTGGGAGGCCAGGGAGCAAGGAGGGGGAAGTCCAGGCTGCCCTAAAGCAGCAGTAACATTCAAGGCTGAAGACATAGGAAGCACAGCTGGAGAAAAGCAAAAATAAAAACCAAAATAAAAAAGGAGATAAAGGGAGGGGAAAAGGTGAGTTTGTGCAGCCCAAGTTGGTAACATGCTCAAAACAACGGAGGTTTGAATCAGAGAATGAAGGTCACCACACAGGATTAGAAAAAGGTGACAAGCAGTATCAACTTTCCCTGTACATATTTCAGTGATTAAGTGGACTACCTCCTTGTTTCCCACATTTCCCGAGTTCTACAAAAACAAACCATTTTAAGGTGGGGCAAATAGTCTAAGACTAGCTCATCTCTAAATGGGGAGCACAGGCCCACACCCTCCTTCTGCTACTGGGGATTAAGCCTAGGGCTTCACACATGACAGGCAAGGTCACTATTACCACAGCCCTCTCTTTGACACAGTCCCACCCTTAGGCTGGCCTTTAATTTACAATCCTCCTGCCTCAGTTTCCCAAATAGCTGGGACTAGAGGCTCATGTCACTACCCACCAACCTGGAGTGGCCCAAGCACATGCCTTCCTTCACAAAACTGACTTGATTCCCAATATTCTGTTTTTAGACAGGGCCTCACTGTGTAGCCCCCAGGTGACCGGGAACTCAGAAAGGAGTCTACTGGTCTCTATCTCTGCCAGCATTAAAGAGGTATGCCACCACACTTGGCCCAATCTTTCTGAGCAGTTAACGAGGAGTCTAAAGAGTATACCTATCCTAACTCAGTTCTATTACAGCTGAAACCTCTTCAACATTCAATTTCAAACATTAAACACCAGGTCTCAACCAGAAGTGGTGTACATACCACACGCTACCCCCCTTTCAGCAAGATTGGCTCTTCGGACACTGTAACTCAAATTAATTAGGACCCAAGGAGGGGCAAGGTAGGAATTACATCACGAAACTAACACTGTTAAGACATACTTTAGAAGATAATTATAAATTATAGTAATAATAAAAATACACAGGCTCCCACCCCTCAATCAAGGCAAGCCACTGTTTGGCACTGAAAAGATTCCTAAAGGGAGGGAGGCTCTGCCACTTCAGATAACACTGCATTACAAGGAATAAACAAACGACAAATACCTAGAAGGGTGAGGAAATAATAACAAAACAGTCTACAGCACCCAATCTCACAAATCACTCAACCAGTTTATTCCCAAATTCTTACAGGACAAGGAGGTGGGTGGCTGGACTAGTCTTTCTGGCAGAATTGGTAGGCCAAAGCCTTCTAATTATAATGTAAATACGTCTAACCATGCTAACTAGAATTTAAAACATGGAATGTTTTACTGGACTTAAAGGTAGGATTAAGCTCCACACCACTTGCTTTTATAGCACAGCCAATGCCGATTTACTACTGTCTAATTCACTCCAGTCACAGGCACCATGGGTATGCCTTCCATACCTAATGTGCAAGCTCAGACTTTCTACAGAGGGAGTGCCAGGATAGGCTCCATAGCTACACAGATAAACCCTGTCTCGAAAAACCAAAAAGAAGCCAGAAATAAGAAATTTTAAAGCTGGAACCAGAATATTCTAAATTCATGTAAATTTCAGCCTCCACATTTGTAAAACAGAATTTAACTCTGGTTTAGTCCTGAAGTTGCAGATCCTCCAAGGCCATTCCTTTCCCCTACTGCCCATTCCCCAGGTCTGGGCACTCATGTCCTTTCTGGCCTGGCAGCTGGACTAATCCCCTCAGCTGCTACAGTCAGACAGGTGGGAAGGAAGGACTTTAAGACTTCTAAGTACAAACAACTTTAAGTCCAAAGGACAACAGAAACTGCCCTTTAAGTAACAAAGAACATTCCATTAAAAACAAAGTAGAGGGCACATTCTTAAGACACCCCTAAAAAAAAGACACCCGTCATTTAGTCCTGTAGAACTGCCTCCACAAGACCATTTCACAATCTTTCAAGCTTCCTCTGAAAACGTGTTTGCCAGGATTCAAGCCTATCTTCACATTCTATTTCAGTTCAAAACTACAATTACTTATTTCAGCTTTGGGTTCCATAGGATGGAAATACCCCAGTACACTACAAGTTTTGGAGCATTCCCAAGTTAACCAGCCTAGGCTGGGGCTCTCGTCATTCAGACATGTGATGAAAGGCTCGGTGCCAATCCCGGCTATCTAAAACCTCGACGCAACTTGCTGGCCAGAACTTTACCAAAGCTCAGGTCTCCTTGGCTTGCCTCTTGCCCCCTAGTTGCAACAGATCAGAACCACCCAGGCCCCTGCCCTGCTCAGGTTTCCTATATGATGCGTAGATTCCACAGACGAGTTTTTCAAGAAGCTGGTATAACTGACAAAGCAAGCCAGGGAACCCATCCAGAACTTTAAAGATACAATATCTTATTCTCATCCCCTAAGGAGTTCCCCGGTCCCTGGCAAGAAAGCAGTTAAAAATCTAAAGCTACAACTCCATTAAAAAAAAATTATTTAAAAAGTCAGCGAACTCCAAAGGCAGAAACGTATTTGTCACCTGTACCCACCAAATGGCTCTAGGTTCAGTTTTAACGAACAAGAGAGCTAATGGGCACCTACCTGTCTCAGCCTGAGGTTGTGGCAACTCCTGCTCGGTAGCAGGGACGGTTTCAGTGGCTTCACCAGGCATTTCTGAAGGGAACAAACAGGAAGCCAGAATTAACTGGGGTGAATTCACCTGCCCGGCCCAGGGTCAAGCATTCTGAAAAAAACCTGCATTAAGCCGGTTAGAAAACAAACGAGGGATACAATACACACAGCCCAGGATACAGCCCCCCAAAACAAACCAGGGATACAGAGCTCGGGAGACAGCGCCCCCAAAGCAAACCAGGGGTACACAGAGCTCAGGAGACTGCCCCCCAAAGCAAACCAGGGGTACACAGAGCTCGGGAGACAGCCCCCAAAGCAAACCAGGGGTACACAGAGCTCGGGAGACAGCCCCCCCAAAGCAAACCAGGGGTACACAGAGCTCGGGAGACAGCCCCCCCGAAAGCGACTGGAAAAAGCGTGTGACGGTGACACACGACCGTGAGCTCCCTTCACTTAGCAGACAGCGGACGCTCCTTGCCCTGGTCCCCTCCTGTCCTAACACGCACCCCCCTCCGCCGGGGACCCCGGGACTCTCCGGATCACTTCCGAAAGCAGGGAGAGCACAGGGAGCCATCAGTGCCACCCTGGCCACAGGACGGACGCTCCAAGGCTGTGACCCCGTCCTCCCTCGGGATCCCCGCGAAGCCCTTCCCCGGGACAGACGGACGCACCCGACCTCCGCG